ACGTTATCTGGACGTTATCTGGATTGTGTAATGTATTTCAGTTATATGATGTTTTAAACCATTTTTTTGGAATTATGAAATTAAGTGTTAGAAAAAAATGGATTACATAATTGAAATCAGTACACTGAAATCTATTAGAAACAAGTTTCATTTTTAAAACATCTGATATCATGCATACCAGTGAATTAATGCAGTAATTTATGAAATCTTCCGAATTTCTAGCGTTGAATAGTTTTTTATTACGTTTCTCAATATTTCTAACAAAACCCTAACCAAATTCAGGTCGTCATTATTTATTTTATTAAAGTTAGAATAATATACAGTTTTCCAATTCATTCTTGAGTGTATAGGATTTATTTCGATTTTTCAATTATCTTCAGCACTTTGCAGTTTTTATACACAGTATTGTATGAATTCTACCGAATTGTTGGCATTAATTAATTTGAAGTTTGTTTTCTCAATTTTCCATACAAAAGTTTCCTGGAAATTGTTCAATTTATTAGAAATAGAATTATTCAAGTTCATCATGAAAATTTAATAAAATCATCTTCAGTGCAGATTTGGTTTATTTAGTTTGTTTAAACAAAACCAAGTTAGTTCTTTAGCAAAGTGAGTTACTTAGTTGGTGTCGTATTATTCATCATTGTTGTTGTCATTTCCTTGTCCTTTATTGTTATTGAAGTTAGTATTAAGGGAGTTGGTAATGATGTAATCATTCTTTATTGGATTATTTAGGGTTTATTGATATCTATTAGAACAGCTTCTGCAGGTTTTAGATGTATTGTGTTGGTGTTTTTATAAATTATTTTTGTGTTGTCAAGAATTTGCTGGGTTATTGGAGTTGCATGTGTTGATTGTAAGTGAGATTTGATGGCTTCTCTTTATATATGCATTGTGAGACGTCTTGATATTGAAGTGGTCGTAACACCAATATATGAATGTTGTTGACGCGCACAGTCGTCAATAGGGCATTTAAATTCAAATATTATATGATGACGCTTCAAAGTAAGACCACCTTTAGGAGTTTGTACAAACTATTAAATAGAAATTTAAAGCGGCGGTTTTAGGGGGCCGGCGGAGGCACTGGCTGCCCGTTGTGATCGTCATTTGTGTTAAAAGTTAGTAAAAGTCGTTATTTTACCGAAAAATTATCTCTTGAATTGTAATTTGAAAGAATAATTGACATTATAATAATATTTATTATATTAATATTTATTACTAGTTATTTTAAGTAAATTACTTAAATTGAAAGAATAATTGACATTATAAGCCCATTACAAACAAAGTTGGCCCCCTCCGTAAGCACAGAATACTTTTTAAAAACAAATTGTGAAATTTTTCCCTCCTCGGTAACCAAGTTTTTTTGAAAATTGCTTCCCCGGTCATCCATTTTTTTTTAATCTTCCCAGGTCAAGTTTTATTTGAAAGTTTTCTCCCCTGGTCATCAACTTTTTTTTCGGCACCAACTATTCTGCGAAATTCTTCGCCTCCGATCGTCTAATATTTTAAAAATCTTGGCCCCTACCTCGGCAAAGTTGTCTAAATCCGCCACTGTATCGAAGTTTATTAAAGACAATTGAAGACTCTAATTTACAACATAATCCATTCTGTAACTATCATTGAGGCAGATGAAAATTTTCTAAGGAGCTTGAACAGTCATTGAAAGTTATTTATATAACAAACATATTTGTTTAAAAATATATTAATAGTAAAAGTAAATTTTAACATGTATGAATTCAAATTTATTTCTGCGTACGTCCTCTGTACACTTCGCTTTCCCCATCGCCATCATAAGCTGAATAGTCTTCACCTTTGTTTCTTTCTCTCGTTAAATTCTACAAAATGTATATAAAATCAAATTTTCAATGCAATGTTACTGACGGTTATTCAAACGATATTAAACTTTCTGCAAAAATCAAATTTTACAAATCAACTCCTTAAAACTTGAAATATTATTTTTATTTATGTTGAAATTTTTTTAATGGGTCATAACTTAAACTTGAAGATACTAAAAAATAAATAGTATTTGATTTAAATTAATTGAAAATTATTGCATTATCACACATTAAAAAACGTTTTTATGGCCAGCGCAACATTCTATAACTGTCCTTATCCCTTCAGTCATTCAACGATCAATTTTACCAAAAATTCTTTGTCGGGCCAAATCTAGTTACCAATAATTTTGTGTTAATGTAGTTACAGAGTAAAATTTCAACGCTTCTCTTACCCTCAACTGTGTTACACATATGTTCATTGTATTGATTTGAGGTTCCATATCAAACAAACAAACGAAATTGAAAAAAAATCATTCAACTCAAGTCATGGAATCGGAGCAAAACTATTGAAATGGTGCTAAGTATTTTTTAACACAGAAAGCAAACAGTAGTAATGAAAGATTATGTGTCCACCTGTATAGGGTCAGTGCTAGAAGCGTTGCTGTTTGTTATATATCTGAATGACCAAATAATGTCAAATTTTTTTCTAAACTATATGCAGATCACAAAATATTATTAAATTACGTTTACAAAATGATTTTGATAAACAAGAGTTCATTGAGGACAAAGTTTCTCGAACGATGCAATGAAGAAGAACGTAGCAAAGTATCTCAAACTGAACGAACATCTGACAGCTATGTTGCAAACATACAACAACTTTCTACATACAAACATAAAACTATGTCTACAAACAATTGTACTCTTCAATAAAGTAACTGATTAATAATATAAGATCAGACAACATATTTGATTATGTATAAGGAAATTTCAAAAAAAGTTTACTTATAATTTCAATGCTAGATTCAAAATCACATGAAACAATAAGTTTGAATCAAAATCAAACATTATATAAATTTTAATCCAAAATGGCTACAGCCATGGGCGTCGCCAGGGGATGGTTTTCAGAGTTTAACCCCCCGAATGAAAAAAATATTTAATAATTTGATCTGTTTTATGTTTGGTTTTCGCCATTTTAAAAAAATAGTTGAAATTTTTTCAACATTTCTATTTTTAAATTGAAATTCCAAAAAATTTAAAATTTCTTTATTGTACTTTTTGCGACATATTGACAATTTTATAATTTCAATATAATAATAAAAATGTAAGACATGTTCATGATTGAAATTAATGAGTTTCAACGTTTCAACGTCGCTGACGTTCACGGCAATCAATCAATTAGTTTTTAAAGCGCTATTTCCGCGATGCTCAGCAGCGCTCCTCAATGAATTTTGCAAAAAGATGAGTCTTGAAATCCGCTCTGAACTTCGTAAGTGATAGGGAAGTAGTCAGAAAAGGAGGTAGAAAGCTCCAGAAAAAAGGGTCAGAAAAAGCAAATGCAGATTTAGCAAAAGAATGTCTAACATAAGTCAAGAAGAAGTGACAACAAGAAGACGATTGTAAATCAATTAATAAAAGAATTAATTTAGATTGAGATTTATACATAAACGTGCAAATATTAAAAATGATTCTATAATTTTTAGGTAGCTATGGAAATATAGGAGAAAAGAAAGGGGTACGAGCAACTAGACAAACAGCAGAGTTAAAAGCTTTACCTAAAAGATAGAGTGTAGAATGAGAAAGACCATAGTAGAGCGAGTTAAACAACAAATCCTAGATAAAACTTAAGAAGAAACAAGAATCGTCAAGAAAAGGCTGAAGTTTTTTATTCTATAACACTATTAATCTGAGAAAAAAAGAGACATGCTAGAATCAAAGATAAAGCCCAGACAAAGAAACTTGTGAGAAACATCAATAGTTTTAAAATTAGGTATGATAATGGAAAAAATAGTAATAGAGCATTTAAATGTATTAAAATAAATTAGTTCAAATTTAGAAGGATTAAGTTCAAGACACACAGTCAAACCAAGCGATGATTGAAGAAATACATAGAGATAATTATGAAGAATACTACTGAGGTAAAAAGTATAAATATAAGAATTATCAGCATATACTTGACTAGTGAAGGAAAAATTATTATCAATAATAATACGAGGTAGTTTAGAAGTATAGAGTATGAATAAAAGAGAGCCAAGGATAGAACCCTGAGTACCCCAAAAGTAAAAGTATAGGAGTAAAAAGTAGAATTATTAAGGACAATAGAAGAAAAACGACTACAGAGATAAGAAGAAAGCCAAGGTCACTAATATTAAAAAAATGGACTAGCAGCCTCAAGAGAATAGTATGATCAACAGTATCAAAAGCAGAGGAAAGTCAAGAGTAAGAAAAAGAGTAAGATTAATATTATCACTAAAGAGAAAGATATCATTATGAAGTTTCAGTACTGTGAGCAGGTCTGAAACCAGATCGAGATAGAGGTAGCAAGGGGTTAGAATTTAAATAAAATGATAATTGATTATAAAATACTTTTTCTATTATATTAGAAATAAAAATAATATTACTAACAGGTCAATAATTAGATAAAGAAGAAGGATCTAAAATGAGTTTTTAAGAATAGTAATAACAATAGAATTCTTATAAGAAGCAGGAAATTTAGAGATGGAGAGATATAAAGTAATTAATTTGAGAATGATAGGATAAAATATTGAAAAAATTCTTCAAGTAAATTAGAAGGAAGTAGATCTAGAAAACAGGTTGTAGGTGACATAGAATTAATAATTTTAGTAAGTTTTAGAAAACTTATGAGCGTAAAGTAAATACAGAAAAAGATTCAGTATTAAGTTTAGTAAAATTATGAGGAGTAGAATGAGAATTAGATGTTCTTAAAGAATTAATTTTATTTATAGAAAAGTCATGATACTGGTAGAAATGGTTACAGTAACATCTGGCGCACTCAAAGCCAAAGCTTACCACTAATAATAAAATTAATAATGGTAATAATAATAGTGTAGAAGGATGTTATTTTCAAATGCATGTGTATGTGTTTATAGGCGTATGCATGTGTGTACATTCTAATGGTACAATTTGAATGTGTGCCTTATGAAGTAAATATGCTAACTCAGGACTGGAGAGATGAAGTTCGATTTTATTTTTGCAATAGAAGCCAGTTCAATTTTCGTAAAAGCATAAGATTTCTTGTTTCTTTATATAATCTCGAAAGTGTTGCATTGTGGACAACTTCCGGAAGAACAAATTTGTGGTACGTCCCATATTTTTAAACCAATTTAATTCAGTTATGTCTAACTTCGTTTAATTATTTTTTGTTTGTTTGTAGCTCATTCAATTCAATTGTTTTTATATATGTAACAGGGTTGTGTACGAGAGGTATGGCTGAGCTTTGTGCGATAAAAGTTTGTAACCAAGTTTGTAATAACTCTCTAATTTAAATTTTGGCAACTTTACCGGTGTTGAACTGTCACAAAAAAACATTCTCTAACCTACAAATTAAGTTGTATGTTACATCTAATTTAATTTTATAATAAAAAATAATAGTTTTTAGTATGTTTACATATATATTTTGATAGTATTTTTTCAATTTTAATTTTTGCTGCTATATTTATACATTTATCAGAGTTTGAACATTGTAAAAAAATATTGTTTTTGAACCCCCCAAAACAAAACCCTGGCTACGCCTATGGTTACAATAGTAAAATTTTTAACGTCATTATTGAAATTATAAATCGATTTCAAACTCAACCAGTAAGTAAATGTAATTAAAATTTTTAAATTATTCAACCTTACTGTTTGATAATTTTTTGAACAAAAGCCTGTCAAAGATTGAACAATTGTTTGAATCCCACTTACACTCATGTATGAAAAGAATGTATATTTTCTACAATTTCATGAAAAAATTATCATGCATCAACAATTCATTAAAATTAGTAAAAAAAACTTACATCCCGCCTGTGTGACGGTAAATTATATACGTTATCTGTTATAAGGACATCCCTTCTTGTATCAAATGTTGAATCGCAGCTTGAATCATAATCATCCAAATTGAAATTATAAACATCTTTTGACTGGAACAAAGTTTTGGGTAACTGAGGAACAGCATTTTTTATTAATCTATTCGTTTGTGCTTTTTTTTTTAAATAATCTTTCTTTTTGGCATTCATTAAACTTTGCATTTTCAGATAACCTTCAGTAAATTTATCTTCCTTTGTAAAAGGCCATGCAATTGAGCTTTTATCTAATAATTTAAAATTGTTAGTTGGATTGTTGATGAGAGAATCTCGAGGATAAACGTGTCCTGTGCTGTGATAGCGTTTCATTGTAACCTCATTAATAGAATTAGTTGTTGAAGGATAATTCATTGATCCTGGTCTGTTGCTGTTTAAATTTTGAAAATCAGCATCATAGTCATAATTAATTATGTCATTTAATCTTGAATAAGATTTATTTTTCTTTAAATACTTTTCACTAGAATAATTGTGTATCTTTGGGAGTTTGATGTTATCTCTATTTTGGCCTAACATAAATCTTTCTGTTGCTGGTGTTGAGGCTGTTGATTCCATGGTTCTCACAGGTACAGGTATTTTGGAATGTCGGTTCATCTTTAAGTTTTATTTCAAGTTTCATTACCAACATTCAAACCAATATTTTATAATGTTTTATAAGAAGTGATATATATTAAATTTAATTAATTTTAATTTTATTCAACTCTGTAACACATATAAATTAACTATTACAGTATTATTTGCTTAAACTTGTAAATAATAATATTGATTAATTAATATTAAAATAATGAAAATACTTTTTGCTAGTATTTATTTTCCCATTAGATTAGATGAAACGTTTGTAATATTATAATTTTATATTATCAAATTATAATTATTACATTATGATTATTGAAAAATATAAACATAAAAATTACAAATATTAGTTAAATTATTGAAAATTAATAAATTTATATATTTTATTTATTTTATAATATAAAAATATAAAATAAATAATTATAATTGATATTAAAATTTATTTATCAATTATTAATAATATATCATTAAATTAAATAGTAAAAATAAATAGGAAAAGAGCAAACCATGTTTTCAAAAAATAACGAAAAACAAACTTTTATTTTTACATGTTTATATTGTTATCAAATTAAATAATTTGTCGGTAGAATTATTAGGCATCGATATTACAAACTTAGAGCTGTCGCTATGACAACACACGACCGACACAGAACCTCAGTTGAGCCAAAAACTCCAAATACAACATTGTTTTACCTGAATGAAAATAAAATAATTTGTTTACATATTTATTATAAAAATTATTCAGATACTTCAGATACATCTTATGGGTTAGTACGTTGCGACTCGTCGATATTCAATATTTTTACGAGATTTAAAACATTGCCGTATATATATTTATATGGGTATTGCGATATTGTACGCTTTCCGTTATAAACTTCACTGAAAGAAAGAGCACATTTATTAAACCATTTCAAGGGGTGAACCAGGAGCGTCTACAGAAGGGAGAAGAGGCAATTCACAATTGCCTCAATTTAAAGCTAAGGAGGGAATTTGTTCCCCATTTATCAGTTTGATATCATTAGAAAATACGCTGATTCAACATGGAAAACTGTATGCGATGAGTAGGAATCATTCGCAACAGCATACGGTACCGCTCCGAATTGAAACTTGAATTTTGCCGTGTTATAAAGAAAATGTTTGATGAGCATTGCAGTGACGAATTTTTAGTTGGTTTTAATGAAAGGAAAAATAAATGTTTTGGATGAAGTGAATCAACAAATGAAAAGTAGATTTGAAAAGCAAAATTATTTTTTTTAAAAGAAATTTTTTGTTATTGACTCCCAAAACACTTTTAAGCAGCCGATGCGTAAAAGGTAACAAAATAAAAACTGCTTGTAAACAGTATGTTGTCAACTGTGAAAATGAAAAACCGGCAAATGATTTTAAAAAGGCATGCGGATTGCTAAGCAGTGATGAAAAGGCTGAAACTTTTTCTGTGGGTTATGGCCATGACTCTGGTATGGAAATATTTTTATTTGACAATATAGCATATAAAGAAGCTCAAATGAATGCTGCTACTTTGAACGATTGCAGTTATATAAATCCACTCAAACTTCTTCATTCATCAGTTATCTGGTTACAGCAATTTGTTGATGTATTACAAAATATTTGCTTTTCTTGCTCTATCAAGTACCTCTGCAGAAAAAAGGCTTTGAGAAAGCTCAAAATTACTAAAAATTGCCTACGGTTCACCATGGCGGATGATTATTTATCTGCGTTGATGACAATCGCAGCAGATAAAGATCTGCTTCAAACATTTACGATGATAATAATAATAACAATTTATATAGCGCTAATGCAAGCAAATAAAAAAAATGTTCTTTGCAAAAAAATAGATACAATATGTAGTAGTAGAATTAGTAGTAGTAAAAGTAGTAGTAGTAGTAATAGTAGTAGTAGAAGTAGTAGTTGTAGCAGCAGCAGCAGTAATGCTGTTATAGAGGTTATCCAGAAAGCATGCTGTCAGGCATGCTATTACAGCTGATTCGTTGATTGATTGTTTTTCATCCAACAATCATTGCCTGCTTTAAATTTGTTCATTGATTTTGCCTCAACAAGTTCATTTGGTAATGAGTTCCGAAAATTTGTGACTCTATTGAATAAGTAATTCTCTTTGGCTCTATGTCATGTTAACTCTTCAAAATATGTTATAGATTTATAAAAATGTTCGTATGATAAGTATAAAGAATAAAAACTATCATCAATAACATAATTCAGTTTAAAAAATGAGCAATAAAAATGAAACTATAACTGGCTACAGCAGCGAATTGTAAAAATGGGTTTTCAGTTTTTTTTTAAAGTGGTTAATGAAGTGCGGGTTCTTTTATGATGAGGCAGTGTGTTCCAAATTGATGATGACGAATGATGAAATGCACGAATGATTGCTACTCTTCATCCATCACAGCATACATTTCACAATATCTTTCCTTCCCAACATTCCAAACAAACAAATATTCACGAAGTTCAAGCCATTCAAATTAAAACTAGCAATCAAGATTTGACAATTATTAATAACTACATACCTCCCTAAAGCAGTTGCCCAAACAACTAATTGGCTTCAATCAAACATTTAATAAATGTACTTAATGGCGACTTCAACGCACACAACCCATTCTGGCACTTAACTATTCAGGAGAAAAGAAGCAGGGAAATTGCACAAGAAATAGACAACTTATCATATGGTACACTAAATACCAACCAAATTACCCAAAAATAATCAATAATCCCCTAACATCCCCACAGCCAGGGATTTAATTATTCTTTTAATCGAATGGACAACAAAAATAAAACTCAAATCAGACCATTTGCCTATTCATATATCAATAGAATTTGAATATCAATACACCAAAGCTTCACGTAAAACTTTTATAAATATCAACAAAGCAAATTGGCAGAAATACAATACTGAAACAGAAATAAAATTTGCATCTACCATCAAACCACAATCCCCAATCAAAGCAGAAAAAAATTCTTGTAAAATAATACACAAAACTTGTAAACACAAATACTAATTGGCGAAAGAGTATTTACCAAACTTGGACTCAACAAAAAAATCATTTATGTCATCAACCTAAGGCAAACAAATCCAAGCTCAGATAATATAAAAACAATTGGAAACCTAATCGAGCAACTAACCAAAAAAGAGAATGAAAAACAAAATGGCATGAATTTTTATTCCACTTCAATAACAAAGTTAATTCTAAAAAACTCTGGCAAACAATAAAGAACATAAATGGTAAACCAAAACAATCACCCAACGTAGCAATCAACTTCAACAACAAACCAATAATCAGACCATAGCTAACAAATTAAACAAACAATTTGCAAGCTTCATCTAACACACAACTAGCAAAACCAACAGATCGTCAAATTAAAATACTATGTCATTATCACATCCCAGAGATAGAATCATCAACATGCTAGACAACTAAATACATTTGGTAAACTTACAGTATTTTATCTGAAACACTTAGGAAAAAACGGAATTAATTATCTTGCATACATTTTCAATCAATCTTTAAAAACAAGTCAAATGCAACTTATCTACAAGACACCCACGATAATTTCAATTCTCAAACCAGGTAAAGCTGGAAACGAATTAACATCCTACCGCCCTATTGCACTACTGTCTCCAGCAGTTACAATTTTAGAAAAATGTCTATTAACCATCATCAGCAAGAACAAAATGAATAAAAATTCTTAAAACATCAATATAATACACTTAGGCTTACATAAAATCAAAATTAAAAGTTCAAAAATTCAGCACCCAAGTAAGGTGTACAGATACTAAATAAGTTCCACGAACAATTCGATAACAAGCATTAATTGAACCAGCTTCAATATTACCGAAAAAGCCGATTTTAAATAACTTGAATTATTTAAATCATTCGATGTTTATGAGGTTTGCAAAACATTGTTGGACCACTAACTCGTAGAAATTTAAAATTTATGTCAGTTGTTGTAGTAGACCAGCAAATAACTCAGGATATGGGCAAATGAAAACAGTGGCGCAACTAGGGGGGCGGTCAAGGGTCAAGATTTTACAACGTTTTTTGTAACTATTACAAACGTACTTTTGTTGTAATTATACAGATAAATATTCTTGGTAGGTTGGGTAAGTATAGTATAGTTACTATTTTTTGATCATCTTTCATAATTTTCAAGACGCAAGTAACACTGAAAAACATACAAAATTAAAAATTATTTACACCGAAGTTTTTGAAAACCTATTCAAAACCAGAAACGTAAATATCAGCCCTATCATCAGAACTGTTTAAAAATTTCAGAAATTTTTTTTGAGGCATTATGAGCAAAAGTCTAGTGGTATTGAAAAGCAATTGCATAATGGGTGGCAAAAACAGATTGAAGAAAACCGCAGATGGTTAATACCTATTGTAAAAACAGTGAAGCATTGTGGAAAACAAGGAATTGCTTTACGTGGTCATTGCGATTCAGGACCACTTTCCACCGAAGAACCAAATGAGAACGATGGAAATTTCAGAGAATGCATATGGCTACGTTTATTAGCTGGCGATGAAAATATAAAATGACATCCGCAAACAGATTCAACTTCACAAACCTATCTAAGTTGGAAGATACAAAATGAAATTATATCAACAACTCATTATTTAATGAGGAAAAATGTCAATGCTGATGGATTCTTCTCTATGCTCTGTGATGGAACTACTAATTTTTCTATTAAAGAACAGATGATAATTATTTTAAGATTTGTTAAAGATGATTGTATTCATGAATTTTTTATTGGTTTTCAAAAAGTTCAAAATACCACAGGTGAATGCATTGCTAAAATTTTAAAGGAAACATTGAAAGAAGCAGGGATTGATATTGAAAAGAATTAGTTAAATACATTTAGCAACCACGTTAATAAAAAAATACATTGTATAAAAAAGTACTGTATCACACAACAAATGAAGGTCATACATAAACACAGTCAATTAGCACGCCCATATGTCATCACAGTGTCTTTTGCACATAGCTTATATCTCTTCAAAGACAGATGTGTTTGACCATCCATGGCCAAATCATTCCATAATTTTGAACCCCTTATTATCCAACTACGTTGGTAGGTGGAAGTTTTAAATTTGTTTAACAACAATTGACCACGTTGCCTGGTAGTTGTCTGAACCCTATCAAAAAAATTTAACTGCTCATAATCTTTATTAATAAGTATTTTATAAACAAATACCAGCAGAATAAAATTATGTAATTGTTCTATTCTAAGAATTTGATGGTTACGAAACACGTCATCAGTATGATCGCGAAAGTTAAAAAAAAATTATTCGCATAAAACGTTTTTGCATCACTAAAACTTTATTGATCCAATATTTACTGGCGGATCCCCAAAACACATTTCCACATAGCAAATGTAGATAAAATAAAGAATAATAAAGTAAGATCATTGACTTGACATTCAACCTGTCTCTCACTCTAAACAGTATCCCACCGCACGGTACAGCCTATGGACGATTATGTTGATGTGCTCATTCCATTTGTTGAATTATATCCGACAATCAAATTCACACTGGAAGAAATTAGTAATTGGAATGATGCAAATGCTCAGAACTGAATTTTGATACTGTTGATCATGCTATTCTCTTGAGACTGCTACATCTTTCTTTTAATATTAGTGATTCTTGTCTATTTTGGTTTTTTCTTATCTCTGTAATCGTTTTTCTTCTGTTGTTCTCAATAATTCTACTTCTAACTCCTCTACTCTTACTTTCCTTGGCCCTCTTCTATTTATACTCTATACCTCTGAACTACCTCGTATTATTAATAAATTTTCTTTTTCTAGTCTTTTATATGCTGATGATTCTTACATTTATACTTCTTTTCCTCCATCTAATCTCAATGGTGTTCTTCATAATCTATCTCTATGTCTTTCTTCAATTATCACTTGGTCTGACTCTATGTGTCTTAAACTTAATTCTTCTAAATTTGAATTAATTTGTTTTCATAAATCTAAACACTCTATTACTATTTCTTTTATTATCTTACCTGATTCTAAAACTCTTGATGTCTCTCACAAGTTTTGTAGTCTAGGTTTTATCTTTGATTCTATAATGTCTCTTTCTTCTCAGATTAATAGTGTCGCTAGAAGCTCTTATTTTCATCTACGTAGAATAAAAAAACTTTTGCCTTTTCTTGATGATCCTACTTTTCTCCTCCTTGTTACTTCGTTAGTCTTATCTAGAATTGATTATCGTAACTCGCTCTATTATGGTCTTCCTGATTTTATGCTTTATTCTTTAAGTAAAGCTTTTAATTCTGCTGCTCGTCTAGTTGCTCGTGCCCCTTTCTTTTCTCATATATCTCCATATCTTGTTCTTTTGCACTGGCTACCTATAATATATAGAATAATTTTTTAAATTTGCACGCTTATGTATGATTCTCAATCTAAATTATTTCCTAAGTATTTTTTAGATATATTAATTGAACCCAAACGCCCAGGTTTACGATCGTCTTTTCGTTCTCGCTTTTTCTTTACTCGTTTTAAACACTCTTTTGCCAAATCTGCTTTTGCTTTTTCTGGCCCTTTTCTCTGGAATTCTCCACCTACTTTTCTGACTACTTCTCCATCACTTACGAAGTTCAGAGCGGATCTCAAGACCCATCTGTTTTCAAAATTCATTGAGGAGCGCTGTTGAACATCGCGGAAATAGCGCTTTACAAGCTAATTGATTGATTGATTTATTGTTTGATTGATTGTTTGATTGATTGATTGAGAACAGTTTTTGGTCTCTATTAATCAATCAAAATTTGTAATATCTTTGTGTATATGTGCTCGTTTCAGTACGTCAGTTTGACTTTATTTCAAAAGCTCTTCAGAAATAGATATAGATTCTATTATTATAGATTATATAGATTATAGATATAGATTATATATTCATATAGATATTCTTCAGTATATTGAACAAGTAACTGACATGGCGCTAATTTTAAACAATTATCGACAAAATGACAATAATGACTTTCACAACATTTTTGAGAAAACTGAAAATCTACTATTGTTCGAAATAATACCTGGTCTGAAAAATTATCTTGTCTTGTTTTCGAACGAGTGCTTGTTAAATTGTGTCTTATGATGCTACATAAGTATTTTATTTGCCCCCCACCCCTGAAAATTTAGTCCAGTTGCGCGACTGAATGAAAACAACTAATATTGTTTGGTCACAATTTTAATAGCATCAAAGAAGTAAAATAAAACAGTAAAAGTATTAAAATCTATAATTAAAAAACATTTTGAAGATGCATAAAAACACATAAATATTATTAAATGTATTCAATTTTTATCAATTATTCTTTCATGTTAAAAGAGTGGTTCACCTGTCCATTTGAAGAGGCCTTAAAAAAATTATACTTTAGATATTTTAAATGAAGTTTTTACTGATGTTGCTATGCAAAATCAGTGAATTTATATTAAACCGAGTTATTAGATAAAAGATTTATTCAAAATTTATGATTTTAAAAATAATTTTACAGTTGCTACAAATTATTGCAAGTTCAAAATCACTTCAGAATAAGCAGGTGGTCCTGCGTCATTTCGAACTTGATCATAAGGGGGTAGAAACTGGAACCCTCCGTTGTTATCAGCAGCAACTGTTTTGTACGTTATCAGTTACATTTCAACAAGGTTTGCTCAGTAATAAAAATCTTCTTATTAATAAGAAAAAAACAAAAAAGCAAGATTGGCGGAACAGTTATCATTAAAAAAATTAAACTATGACTTAATAAATTTATTAATATCATTTTATATAACAACGATTAATAACATCGTTGTCGTAATGAAGTTGCAGGATCAACAACATTCTTGTCCTAATAACTGCAATTTAAAAACAATCCATGCCAATAGAAAAATCAACATACCCCTTAAAATCATTGCATTAGCTGGCGGAGGTTGCGAAACAACAGATGGCGGCAAAAGCTGGAATGATGTTTGAGAGGATGATAACAATGGAGGTGAAGGAAAAACAGATTCCTCTTCTCTGAATAAATTTGTGCCAATTGTGATAGGAAGAAGCAAAGATAAGTTGGTTGAAAACGGGATATGCAAAGTAATCTGATAGGTTGAATGTTATTACGTACATTGATGGGATTAACAAATTATTCATTATTACTTTAAATTATAAAATCTGGACACACTCAAAGAATTGCTAAAATAACCCTTTATTCAATTTTCATGCCAAAGCTATTCACGAATTCTATCGGGAAAAATATAAAATTTTGTTATCCAAAAACGTTCAAAGTTTATGGCTCTGTTTTTGTATATATAATATATTTTTTGAATTATTGGGTTGATTAGCTCTTCTGAAAAAGTAAAAAAATATTATTTGAACTGTTTAACAAACCATATTCGTGTAATGTTACAATGCAACCAAATTAAATCAACCAAAACAATGTAACATAAACTTGTTGTCGTGAAAAATATCAGGCTTTGTATACTGTAGTTAGGGTATATAAGGAGGTACGATATTAATATTACAGATGAGATGAAATTAAAGAATTGTTGTAAAAGTGTGTTTCGTCATAATTTTTTGAATTTAAGTTTTAATAGATAATCACCAAGTAACTTTTGATAGGTTTATTTAAAATTTGATAAAGAAATTATTAACAATAGTTACTTTCACAAAAGAACCTTTATGTTAACCATGTTAAGTCAAATCTTTGCGATAGTGTAAGTTAGACCTGAATTTTATTCACGTTGTTGTTCGACTGACCGTCACCAAAACTGACTTCTTTTTTAGGCATGGATTGTATTTTTTGTTATTTATTATTCAGATTTGACAAAAGCAAGATTCCTTTCAATGGACCCCCATTTTAGTTCTTCCAAATTAAACTTTGATGCCCCAAAAATACACAAAACCGCCTTGTCACACGTCCGAGTTTGTGATTATTTTAGAGTTTCACACAAGCAGATTAGCGCCCGTTAATAGCGCATGACATGATGTACTACAAGAGCTTCATCCAATAAAATAAAATATAAAATTTCCTTAAAAAGGGAATAATTTAAAGTTTTAAGTTTAAATGGCCTTAATTTTTTTCATTAGACAGTTTTGACTAAAGCAATGTATCTCACTGTTTCTGTTATTAAAACTAAAATTCATTACGTCACACAACCTCCTCATCTTAAATAATTTTTAAAATTGTTACGCATAGAAAATTGAGTTATTACCAATTTTGCACACAATAACAATCTGAGACATGAAACCGTAAGTAATTTATCGCGAAAACTTAATTTTTAAACCTGAGGGAGATCAATTTTTATCAATTTTATTATTTGTCTTTTAGAGTTCTGAAGCCAGAGTCACTGTTTAGAAAAATATGGACAGTTACAAAATAAATCTACAAAACATGTTCGACCAAATTAGTTTAAAAAAACTTTTATTTATTCCCTTACTAAAAAAATTGATAGGTTTCAACTCTGCATTTTAAGTTGTACAAATTTTCTTTTCTATTTGCAAACTTAAAGTTTTTCAATTGAAACTTCAAACTTTTAAAATTAAAAAAAAATTATTTGCCCAATCAATAGGTAACAATGGTTTGACTGTATAAACACATTAATTAGATAGATGCAAGGCCGTAGCCAGGTTTTGTATTAAGAGAGGCTGTCCGAAATTATTCAACGTAAGACTATGGAAATGTAATAAAAATAGAGTAATTTTTGAAATGTTCGTTCATTACATGAAAAAAGCTATAAAATAACTAAACGATTTCTTTATAGGAACAGTTTCTTGAAAATTTTTTAATACCTTTCACTGTTAAAAAGCTTTTTTTACTGATGATGTTGAACTGGCAGCTCAGCCATAATGAGCAGAAATGCATAAATGTAGTGAAAATGATTGGCGTTGCAACTTGCCAATCTCCCAGAAGCAGATATTGATTTTTCGTGGGTCTAAACCATTCTCCTTCTTGTTTCAAATTCAACCAAATTTGACTATTTAGATTATTTATATATTGAAACAGACTTATTTTTTCAGCCCATTAGGTTGTTACATAATGTTTATTATAATTTATGAAAACTTGTTTCACGTTTTATAAAAAAAATTTCACTTTAATTTTTAATCAACAAAAATGTATACTTTTAACGTTAACATATAAGAATATGTTATTAAAATTGATGGTAAAATGTTAAACATCAAATATAGTGTGCGTTCAATAACAAACTCGTCATTTTTTCATCTTTTAAGGATCTTTTAGCTTCACGTACTTTAAAATTTTAGCAAATTTTAAGATCTGTAATAAGAGCTGTTATCATGAGCTCTTTCAAAATCACATAACATGTTACTATAAATATTATTTTCTAAAAATAGTTAACGAATTAAATGACTTACTTGAATAAAATATTCAACTTTTATGATGGAGCAATTATTTATTGATGAACAAACGTCAGGTAATTTCAACATTGTTCCATCCCACGTCAATAAATTTTTGCCTTTAATGCGCTCGCCTTGATATTATTATTATTATTATTAATTTTATCTTTATTAAGTCTCAGAGTTATTAACAGCGAACTCGGCGCATGCAATATGTAAATAGGAGCAACTCCGAATCACACACATTGCGTGTGTTGGGCTGTGATCTCATAGCATTCAAAGAAAAGCAAGTCATTGCAGCAGCAGGACAGGCCCGGCTCCAGACATTTGGCGGACTAGGCAGAGCTACATGTATGGTGTTGACTACTCTACCCATATATGATATATGGGGTTTTTTCTAGTTTTTTTTATATACGTATTGATATAACATAATATATAATATTATTTTTGAAACTGTATTTTATCCACCAATATTTTTACCTAGTTTATTGGATAGGTTTTTACAATTTTTTTTATATATTTTCCCATATTTTAAAAATAGAATTCAATTTCATCTTTGTTTCAATTTTTTAAAATTCTATAAATATTTTTTGATGCTTATTTAAATTTTTTTGCAAAATAGGCGGCTCCTAAAATCGGCGGCCCTAGGCAGCTGCCTAGTTTGCCTAATGGAAGAACCGGGTCTGACCAGGACCAGGCGTCTTAACCATTTCACCATCTCGCCGCCTATTGAAAATGTTGACAAATGTTTGCTCTTCACTAGTCTTCAGAAGGTAAAATTATTTTATATATATAACTTAATTTCAAAATTAATTAGTTAAATAAATTCAGTATCATTTATAAACAAAACGACCTGTTAAGAGTTTGTGTTTATTGACGATTTGTTTGGATTTTCCTCTGGCAAAAAATGTTTGAATTTGATGAAGAGATACTCGAGGAGTAACAGTCCGGGCTGACTGATTATTGAAAGTCACCCAAAGCACCAATGTCCCACCTGCATTTCAATCAAACAACAAATTTAAAAATTGTTCTTCAATAATGAGTAATGCAAACCTGAACAATACCCTACCCAATCCGTTCTTGCATCGATCGAAATGATTCCTGATCTACAGAGACAACAACATAATGTTTTTTCTACTGAGTTTCTTACTTGATTCTAATTGTGTTTTTTTTATTTTAGCACACAAAGTTTATTTGAAAAGGCTTTATCTACATTCTACACTACAGTAAAACTTTGATATAATAGACTAGGTTATGACGTACACTAAGTTTTAATCAGGGTGTCGGAGTCGGGTAAAAAATATCTAGCCCAATCCCTCAAAAAATTCCGACTCCGTGTAAAAATTTCCAACCTCGACTTTGACTTCGGGTTTCGAGTCCGAAAATATTTTTTTTGCATCATAACTTTACTTAAATATCATAACTAAATGACCATGTCGGGTCGAAAAGTTTTACTGCATTAGTTCAATAAGCCGTAAACCATCAAAAATACCTGGAAAGCGGGTTGGTTAACATCTGTCGGATTAATAACTGTAAATGGAAACTCAGTTTTATAATTTTTGGACCATCTTTTCTCGACGACAACTTTTAAAGAATATTTAATACATCCATGAATTCCTTCGAAAGAGGCTGGAATATTTCTAAAAACAAATTCAATTCAAAAATAGATGTATATATAGATATATATATATACATTTTTTTTTCTTTTATCCAAATTTATTTGACCAAAAAAGTCAGGAGATCAAAAAAGTAACAAAAAAACTTGCGAAGACCACCCATGGCTAAAATCAAACAAAAAATTACAATTATAGACATTAGTAAAAAGAAAAAAAAAACAGAAAATACATTCATAAAATTAGTTAAATACATTTAGCAACCACGTTAATAAACAAATATATTGCATAAAAAAAGTAAAAAAAAAAGTACTGTATCACACAACAAAAGAAGGTCATACATAAACACAGTCAATTAGCACGCCCATATGTCATCACAGCGTTTTTTGCACATAGCTTAAATCCCTTCAAAGACAGATGTGTTTGACCATCCATGACCAAATCATTTCCTAATTTTGGACTCCTTATTATCCAGCTACGTTGGTAGGTGGAAGTTTTAAATTTGTTTAACAACAATTGACCACGTTGCCTGGTATATGTCTGAACCCTATCAAAAAAATTTAACTATTCATAGTCTTTATTAATAAGTATTTTATAAACAAATACCAGCAGAATAAAATTATGTAATTGTTCTATTCTAAGAATTTGATGGTTACAAAACACGCATAGAACGTTTTCGCATCACTAAAACTTTATTGATCCAATATTTACTGGCGGATCCCCAAAACACATTTCCATATAACAATCATGGACAAAAAACATAATAATAAAGTGAGATCATTGACTTGACATTCAACCTGTCTCTCGCTCTAAACAAAATCCCAACCGCACCGTACAGCCTATGGACGATCATGTCGATCTGCTCATTCCATTTCAGATCACTTTGTATAACGATTCCCAAAAATTTTACCGAATAAACCCGTGGAAGAGATATGCCCTGGATAATCAGCTTCAAGCCACTCAGGGGCACTTTGTTCGTTTTTATCGAGGGACCAAAGATGACATAACAAGACTTGGATATGTTCACTGTCAGCCCATTGGACAAAAACCAATCATAAATCACATTAAGCTGGTTATTCATCTCCGTGAATAAGTCCAGCAGACTCTTACCTGACAAAAAAATACTGGTATCGTCAGCAAATAACATCACAGTGCATCTATCGGATACAGAAAAGATATCGTTGACAAATATTATAAACAACAAAGGTCCCAATATGGAACCCTGAGGGGCACCTGTTAGAATCCTTAAAGGGGATGACACAACATTTTCAATAGAAACATACTGACTACGATCAGTTAAGTAAGATCTGAACCAATCAAGAACAATTTCACGAAACCCATATTTAAACAATTTTCGAAGCAAAATTTCATGGTCAATAACATCAAAAGCCTTTTTCAGGTCGATAAAAACACCTAAGCTAAAATTACATTTGTCAAAGTTCTCCAAAAGAGACAAGTGCAACTCTGCAATGGCTTTTTCAGTAGAGGACTTCGGAACAAAACCGTATTGGTGTTTATTAATCGCATTATGTTCAATTAAAAAATTCCACATTCTATTGAACATTAATTTTTTCAAATATTTTAAAAAATACCGGTAATATTGAAATTGGTCGGTAGTTACCAAACATAGTCGGGTCGCCACTTTTGAAAATTGGTAAAACCTTGGCTATTTTTAAAACAGACGGAAATATACCCGTTCTAACAGACTCATTAAACTAAAAAGAGATGTGGCCAGCTATCTGACAAACAGTGCTTCTCAAAATCTTGGTTGACAAGAAATTACCGTCAAAACTTTTTTTTAAGTTTAATCGGTTGACTACAGTTATAACCTCTTCAGATGTTGGATCATCCTCAATTCGTAAAAAAGTAAGATCCGCATTAGGCCGGATGTCCGTCATTTTGCTGGTATTAATGCCTATTTCAACAAAAAATTTTTTTAACTCATTCACCTTTGCTAATTTAGTAGATTCATTAGCATTCTTTAGAAATAATTTATTACTAGGTGCATTAGAAGTGGAACCTGATATCTCATTTATGATTCTCCATTTATTTTTTGCATCAGAATTATTATTTAATCTATTTTTAAAAAAAATTTTTATAGTTAATCTTTTAAAATTAATAAATCTATTTTTAATTTTAATTTAAGCATTTTTATTTATAGGGGTTGGAGTAGTCAAGTATCTTCTGTAAAAATCATCCTTAAGCAATGCATGTTTAAAAAGATCTGTGTTCATCCACATCTTGCGAAAACGGTTCTTTTTGTTCACCAAAGGACATGCCTAGTCAACGCTTTTCAAATAACCTTTAAAGAAAATTTCAAATTTCAATTCATAATTAATCTCAGCATAAAAGCTGTTCCAATGAGTACTTTCAAGCAAATTATTTGCTTTTTCAGATTAGTTGCATTTACCTATTTGGTCTTAATGCAAGAGGATTTGCCAGTTATTGATTCATTTGACAACTGACAGCAGATAAAAATTGGCAGATTATCAGAAATATCACTATATAAAATTCCCCTTAAACAATTTCTATTATTATAATTTGTAAAAATATTATCAATTGTAGATGAATGATTATCCGTTATCCTAGTTGATTGAAAGATTATTGGATGCAAATTGAAAAGGGCCATGAGGTTCAAGAATAAAAAAGATACCTGGCCCTCTGTTGCCAAGTTAATATTGAAATCACCAACTATGAATACAATATTTCTGGAATGACAATTAAAGAGGTTAAAAAGAAATTCATAGAATACATAAAAAAAACAGCAAGCTTGCCATTGGGTGATCTATGAATGCACAAGAAAATATATTTTTTGTTAACATAGCCAGAAGCCTTACCATTCAAAAACCCTCAAGTTATGAGAAAAATTTAAATCATTATGAGTTAAACACTTATCATTTAAAAAGCCAGTACCTCCACCCCTTTTACTTTCTCTATTATTTAGGATTAAATTATGATTAGGGAAATATGAAAGTATGGGACCATAAGAAGTGTCATTATTCATCCATGTTTCACTCAAGGCAATTATCAAAGGGATTTTAGCATTTGCCTGCAGATTGTTAATTAACAAGGGTAGATCACCAGCATGAGAGGCCAGACTTCTAATATTAGCATGCATTAAAAACAAATTGAATTTTATGTTAATTGCATTACATATTGATTTAACAAGATCAGAGAAGCTAAAATAATGATCAAACCCATCAGAATAATAAAAGTCACGATTAATTATTGTATCAACATCATCAAATTTATTCAATGTACAAGATCTATCAGTAAGCACATTCATTGAATTAGAAATCTTCATAGATACATCTATTTATATATATGAATATATATATATAAGAAAGAGTATATAGGAAAAGTTTGAAAACCACTCATCGTGAGGAATGGAAATCTGCCCTAAAAGAGCAATATAATCCTTTTGCTAGTAAACGCCAATTGTACTGGATCGGAATTGTTGATGAAAACAAGGGTAATTCAAAAAATCTATGGAGGGTGATTGATAGAATTCTTTGCAGGAGTAGAAATGAAGATGTTGATGTAGATACTAATGCGTTGTCTGCTAATCAATTTAAGGATTTTTTTGCGGAGAAGTTACTGAAGGTGAAGCAGGATACAAAAATTTTGGAATGTCTGGGCCCCATCTGTTCAGAGTTTGTAATCAGAGATACTTTTACTTCATTTTCAGAGGTTACTAATGATGATGTTATAATGGTAGCTAAGAAATCAACGGCAAAATTGTCAACAAGATATTATTCCAACTGACATCATTAAGAAACATGTTAATCTGTTTACTCCTTTTTTGACAAGTTTGGTTAATCTGTCTTTGAAAACTGGTTAATTTTCTGTGGGGTGTAAACATGCAATTGTGCGTCCTCTTTTGAAAAAAAATAATCTCGATCCTGGTGAAATCAGCAGCTACAGACCGGTTTCTAATCTCTGTTTTACCTCTGAGCTTATTGAACGGTTGGTTGCTAAACAGATACTGGATCACTCGAAGAGTAACAATTTGTTGCCTGTTCATCAGTCTGGCTTTAGACAGTGCCATTCTACAGAGACGACGCTGTTGCAGGTTTTTTCAGATCTCTGTTCAACAATGGATGTACAGAAGATATCACTCCTGGCTTTCTTTGATATGAGTGCGGCGTTCGATTGTGTTGATCACAGGATTCTTTTAGATAGATTGCAATATGGTTTTGGTTTTTCTGATGGAGTGTTAGAATGGATGAAATCTTATTTGGTTGGTAGATCTTAGCAAGTATCATTTGGAGGTAAGATGTCTGACGTCAGTGGGGTTGTCTTTGGTGTGCCACAGGGGTCGGTTCTTGGCCCGTTGTTGTTTCTGCTCTATACGTCAGAGGTTTTTAACGTAGTTGAATCATTTGGGTTGACAAGTCACGCTTTTGCGGACGATATTTAAATAATAGTTAACAGTACAATAGATTCATTCCCGTTGGAAATGAAAAAATTTGTAAAATGCTTGTCAGCTGTTGATTTATGGATGTCGCAAAATGGCTTGAAATTAAACCGAAATAAAACTAAACTTTTGCCGGTGGGAGCATGGCAGCAGTTGTCAAAATTGAAGATAAACTCGATCACAGTTGATGAAGAGACAATTTTATTTTGTAACAATGCGACTAATCTGGGTGTGATTTTTGTTTCGAATCTAACAATGAAGCACCATATCAAGAGGGTTTCAAGAGATTGCATTTATCAGATTAGAAGATTGAATCAAATTCGTGGATCATTGAACGTCTCTACGCTTCAGACGCTGGTTCATGCATTTGTTCACTCGAGAGTTGATTACTGCAACAGTTTGTATTATGGATTGCCGGACAAGTCCATCCGTGTATTGCAGTCTTTGCAAAATCATGCGGCTAGGGTTGTGGTTGGCGGTCGATCGGATGATCATTTGACACCTATACTTAAAGATTTGCACTGGCTAACTGTTGATAAGAGAATAATTTACAAAATTTATATTTTGTAAAAT